AAGGGAAGAATACCCAAAGGTAGGAATGAACATGGAGGACAGTTCTTTCACTTCTGTACCCACAGATATGAGAGAAAAATGGGAGAGAGAGGCCTCAGGGGAAGAAGTATCTTCAGGGAAAAGCCAGGTTTCAGTTAGAACATGAAAGTGCAGGAAATGTTCAGAGAAGAAATTAAGGATGCAGGAGATGTTGCTGATGTTGCAGGGTTTTATTTCTGTAGGACAGAGTCCTAAAACTGTGGAATTACTGGGTCAAAACAAATGTATTTGTACATTTTAATAGCTACTGCTAGTCTACTTTCCGTGGAGTTTTAGCAGCTCACACTCCCACCAACTGGGGATCAAATCTGCAACCTTTTGGTGTATGAGACGATGTTCCAACCAACTGAGCTACCTGCCAGGGCAGTCTGACTTACTTTATTCAGCGTGGTATTCTCAAGATCCATCCATGTGGCAGATGGCAGTAGTTCATCTTTTTTTTTTTTTTTAATCCTCACCTGAGGACATTTTTTCCATTGCTTTTCAGAGAGAGTGGAAAGGAGAGAGAGAGGGAGGGGGAGAGAGAGAAAGAGAAACATCGATGTGACAGAAACACATTGGTTGCCTCCCGCACATGCCCCAACCTGGCCTGGGGATCGAGCCTGCAACTGAGGTATGTGCCCTTGGCTGGAATCTAACCTGAGATCCTTCAGTCCACAGGCCGACGCTCCAACCACTGAGCCAAACTGGCTAGGGCAGTAGTTCATCTTTTTTATGGCTGAGTAGTATTCCATTGTATATATGTACCACATTTTCCTTATCCAGTCATCTATCAAGAGACACTGAAGTTGTTTCTATGTGTTGGCCACCATGAATAATACTGCAGTGAACATAGTGGTGCACATATCTTTACGAACAAATGTTTTCAAATTTTTTGGTAGATACCCAGAAGAGGGGATGGCTGGGTCATCTTAATTATGGTAATTCTTAAATTTTTTTTTTAGGACTCTCCATACAGTTTTCCATAGTGGCTGTGCCAGTTTGTATTCCTACCAGCAGAGAATGAGGGTTCATTTTGCTCCACACACTCTCCAACACTTGTTATACCTGTTTTGTTGTTAATAGCCATTCTAACAGGTGTGGGGTGGTATCTCATTGTAGTTTTTTCATTTCCCTAATTGCTAGTAAAGTTAAGCATCTTTTTATATGTCTGTTGGCCATTTGTATGTTTTCTTGGGAGAAGTATCTCTTCAAATCCTCTGCCCATTTTTTAAATTGGATTGTTTGGTGAGGGGGAGAGGTTGTTGTTGTTGAGTAGTATGAGTTCTTTATATACATTTTGGATAGTAACGCCGTGTCATAGGTGTTGTTTGCATATATCTTCTCCCATTGGGTTGGTTGCCTTTTTGTTTTGTTGGTGGTTTTTGTGCTGTGCAGAAGCTTTTTAGTTTACTCTAGTACCATTCATTAATTTTTACTTGAGTTCCCTTGCCTTTGAGGTCAAATTCATAAAATCGTCTCTAAGACCCAGGTCCATAAGTTAGTTCCTATGTTTTCTTCTATATGTTTTATTTTTCCTGGTCTTATGTTTAGGACTTTGATCCATTTTGAGTTGATTTTTGTATGTGATGACAAATAGTCTAGTTTCATTCTTTTGCGTGTGGCTTTATTTTTAAAAAAATGATTGATTGATTTAGAGAGAGAGGAAAGGGGAGAGAAACATTGATTTGTTGCTCCATTTATTTATGCATTCATTGGCTGATTTTTGCATATGCCCTGACTGGGATCAAATCCACAACCTTGGTATGTCGGGACAACGCTCTAACCAATTGAGCTACCCAGCCAGGGCCTACATGTGACTTTCTAATTTTCCCAGGATCATTTACTGAAGAGGCTTCTTTTTTCTCTTTTGTATCTTTTGGCTCCTTTGTTGAAAATTATTTTCCCATATATATGTGGGTTTATCTCTGGGCTCTCAATTCTGTTACATTGGTCTGTGTGTCTGTTTTTTTGCCAGTATAATGCTGTTTTTATTATTGTTGCTTTGTAGTATAATTTGAAAAGTCATTGATACCTCTTGCTTCCTTCTTTTATCTCAGGATTTGCTTTGGCTATTTGGGGGCTTTTTGTTTGTTTTTTGGTTTTTTGTTTGTTAATCCTCACCTGAGGATATTTTTTCCATTGCTTTTTCAGAGAGAATGGAAGTGAGGGAGAGTTAGAGCCCTAGCCTATGTGGCACAGTGGTTAGAGCGTCAGCTTGTGCACATAGGGTCGTGGATTTGATCCCTGTCCCTGTCGGGAGGCAACTGATCAATGTGTCTCTCTCACATCGATGTTTCTCTCTCTTTCTCCTCTCTCTCCTTCCCCTCCACTCTCTCTAAAAAAAATCAATGGAAAAAATATCCTTGGGCGAGGATTAACAAAACAAAAAAAGGTAGAAAACAATTTTGGTATTTAAAGACAACGGTCATTCACATTCTGGGAAGAAGGTAAAAGTGAAGTCCAAGCTTTTTTTTTTTAAGAAGTAGAGTTTTTGTTTGTTTGTTTTAAATATATCTTTATTGATTTCAGAGAGAGGAAGGGAGAGAGAGAGATAGAAACATCAATGATGAGAGAACCATTGATCTGCTGCCTCCTGCATGCCCCCAACTGGGAACTGAGCCTGCAACCCAGACGAGTGCCATCACTGGGAATCAAACTGTGATCTCCTGGATCCTAGGTCAATGTTCAACCACTGAGCCACACCCGGCCGGGCTAGAGTCCAGCTCTTAAGGAGAATATTCAAAGAAACACATCCCAGCCCACTGCAGTGGGCTAAAAGGAAATGGAAGTTAAGGGGGAGCCTATTACAAACCAGAAGGCAATAGCCAAACTAGTAAGAGGCCTGGAACTAGAGTTCAGACTATCAGAGGTATCAAAGCAAGTGGTTCTCTTAATAGAGCTCTAGAGTTCTTAACAGAGCTTTTCAATTTCCCATTTGAAATTTTTACAGCATTTTAAACAAAAAATAGTAGCAAAGTTTATTACCTCTGGCATAATTTTTAAAAATAAACAATTGCATACCTAAAGAATTCAGACTTCAGTTTTCTGTGTTTTTTTTTATTTTTAAGCTCTGGAAAGGATATCCAGTCCAAATGAAATTCCTCATGTTGCACATAAAGGAAGTTAAAATCCAGAGGTTATACATGTCTGATCCATGGTCACAGGCAAAAACTTAGTCTCCTGACTCATCAGTGCATGTTTCCACGTTCTTGTCAGGTTGAGATCAATCTCTTTCTCCTGTTGCTTACTGGTTGTTAAGAGGAATTTCTTGATGATGGAGACTATTATAGTATTCATCTCCAAATCCCTTGGCCATTGTAAAAAAATGGGCAACAACAGTAGACATTTGTTGCATGAAAGAATGGATGGATGGATTTGACTTTTGTATTAGACCTTGAAGGAAGGCAAGGATTTAGTTCTATGGAAATTCTGGTCATTGATGTCTGCATGAAATGTTAGATTAGTTGAGTATTGGACACCTAAAGGGAAATAGTGAGAAAATATTCTAGAAAGCTAGGTTGGGGCCCATTATAGGAACACTTGAATGCTAAGCTAAGGATTTTGGAATTTATTATTCTGTCAACTGAAAAGTTTTGAGCAGATGAGTAACACACACACAACAAATAGGAACAAGAATTAGAAGGAGGAAGAGAAATTAATTTTTTTGACAATTCATATGAAGTGTTACAAAAGCTTGATTAAAGATGCTGGCTTGGGAATGGAAATGTGGTTACAGATGTAATATAGAAAATGGTCAGAACTTGATTACTGATGATGAAGTGTGGAGTTCAAGGAATACTTCAAGGAGTACTCAAAGATAAAGCTCAGATTCCAGAAGTCATTTTAGCCTGTATATTTGGGAAGGTGGTTGTGTGTTAACATGTGTAGTGGTTTTAATGATACACTTGAGGTACTGGTGCTACATTTGGTGGAAATATTGAATAGGCTAGGCTATTGGAAAAGTGCTCCTAAACTTCAGAAGAGATGGTGGGTCCAGAAATTAAATGAGGAGTCATCTGAATAGAAAGGGTGGTTTAAGGTTTGAGGATTAAATGAGATTGCCAGGGACAGAGGTATAGAGAGTCAAAAATACCAACGACACATCCTTAGGGAACTTCTTGTGTTGACAGGGATGGAAGAAGAGGGAGCCAGAGAAAGAAACTTTGGTCAGAGACAGTGAAACCTGAGAACAGTCCAAGGAGAAGGGAGTAGGGAAAATACTTATTGTAGGAAAACATTTGAATTACCAACTCTTTTTAATAGAAGTCTGTACACAGTTCATATTATAAGCTAGGTTATATGCTAGTAGGTAAAACAATGCAAGTTAATGAAAGTCATTATATTTTGCAGGAAACCTGCATTATTATATCACTATATATTATAAACAGAATAGTTGTTTAGCATTGAAGAATATTTTGCTTGTTGAAGAAATCTTTAATTTTAAACCTGAATTTGAGAGGAGAATATTAACCAGTTGTTTCCTTAATCAGCTTTGAAGGTTTTTTGGGTTCTTTTTTTAATCCTCACCCGAGGACATGCTTAGAGACAGGGAGGGAGAGAGACAGACAGACATACATTGATGTGAGAGAGAAACATTAATTGGTTGCCTTCTATATATGCCCAGACTGGGGATCGAGCCCACAACCCAGATATGTGCCTATGTGCCCTGACTGGGAATTGAACTGGCAACCTTTTGGTGCGTGGGACGATGCTCCAACCAACTGAGCCACTCTGGCTGGGCAAGCCTTGAAGGTTTAAAAGACAAAGTATTTTCATTTTTTTTGTTCTATGGGAGTAATCTGCTATAACTGATTGGACAAATTCTGAATAGTGAAGTTTTACTGTATTTGACCATCTATCTTCAACACTATTTAGTCTAATTTCCCAGAAGTATTCATAAGTATTCTATTAGGGATAAAAATTTCTACAAATGTACTGTTGGTTTTTCCCTAAGTAACTTTTGTTTTTATCCTTTTCAGGATCTGACTGGCATAGAATCTATGGATCAGTGTCGTCATACCCTGGAACAGCATAACTGGAACATAGAGGTATAACAGGATTTATTCTGAGCTTATTTCGTTTCTTTTTTAAAAAAATGTATCTTTATTTTTATTTATTTTTATATATCCTTATTGATTTCAGAGAGAGGGAAGGAGAGGGAGCCAAACTAGCCAGGGCAGCATCTTGATTTTTTGTAGCTTGGTTAATTATACTCTCTTGTACATTTAAGACTGAATTTTCTACTGAAAATACACTTTAAAAGTTTTGATTTTCTTCTTTGGCCTAAGACTTTTTCTAGTAACTTGCTTTTGTGTTTTTGTTTATCCTTATTTTATTAACTCTTCTTGTATTATATTAAATCTTATTGTATTTCATATAGGTATCTATTGAGATCCTTGTGATTTAATAACATTCCATTAATATTATTAAATATGCATGTATATATTTTTAATTAAACATTTCAAACCTAGGGAAAAATGTAGGTATATAGGGAATTAACCATGTGTCTACCATCCAGCTCCTGAAAGCCAGATGTTTTGTAATACTTGGTTTAAATTTCTTTTTTTCTTTTTAAATTAAAAAAAATATATATTTTTATTGATTTTAGGGAGAGAGAAACATTGATCGGCTGCCTCCTGCATGCCCTGTACTGGGGATTGAGCCTGAAACCTGGGCATGTGCCCTGACTGGGAATCTAACCAGTAACCTCTTGGTGCATGGGACAGTGCTCAGGCCACCTGAGCCACACAGCCAGGGCTTGAATTTCTTTTATTCTTATTTTATTATTATTATTTTATTTTTAACCCTCACTCGAGGATATTTTTTCCATTGCTTTTCAGAGAGAGTGGAAGGGAAAGAGAGAGAGAGAAGCATTGATGTGAGAGAGAAGCATTGATGTGAAAGAGACACATCAATTGATTGCCTCCCTCACGTGCCCCCACTGTGGTAGGGGATTGAGCTCCCAACTGAGGTATGTGCCCTTGGCTGGAATGGAACCCGGGACCCTTCAGTCCATGGGCTTGACACACTAACCACTGAGCCAAACTGGCTAGGGTAAGGGCTTAAATTTATTTTAAACAAATTGGATAAAATTGAAGCCCCATGTAAGTTGCTTAAATATCCTTTTTTCCTACCTCCCTTTTTTCTCCTTCTTCCTTAAAAGTAACCACTGTTAACAACTGGGTATTTATCAAGGAATATGTTTTTTGTAGGATAAAGGTTTGGTGTCTGTATTCAATCAAACTTATTAAATGTATGATTAAAATCTGCCATTTCCATTTTTTTAACTGTTTACTTAATGAGACTACTTGACATGATGAATTAGAATGTATTTTTATGGTTTCTTTATTTCCCATTGGTAATGTCTTTTTTCTAATTGTAGAAACAATGCATGTCTGCAAAAATTTAAAACAGAGTTTATAAAAGTTGAAAATGAAACTTCTTGATAAGATACTTGAGATAACCACATTTGATGTTTCAGTGTATGTTCTTTTAGTCTTTCATATGTATATAACTGCTTAGTGTGCTGATAATATGTGTGTATTTTCCAGTGCTAATAACAAATAGATCAAAGAGAATGCTTATTCCTTTTGTTGTTGTTGTTAATCCTCACCTGAGGATATTTTTCCCATAAATTTTTAGAGAGAATGGAAGAAAAGGAGGGAGGGGGAGAGAGAGAGAAACATCAGTGTGAGAGAGACACATGAATTGGTTGCCTCTCGCATGTGCCCCGACTGGGACCGGAGATTGAACCTGCATCCCAGGTGTGTTCCCTTGACCGGGGATTGAACCCATGACCCTTTGGTGCACTGGCTGATGTTTCAACCATTGAGCCACCCCAGCCAGGACTGATTTATTAATATAACTTTTGGGTGTTACACTTTACACTTAAGAATTATTGAGCCCGGCCAGGTGTGGCTCAGTGGTTGAGGGTCAGCCTAGGATCCAGGAGATCGTGGTTCAGTTCCCAGTCAGGGCACATGCCGGGTTGCGGGCTCGATCTCCAGTCGGGGGCGTGCAAGAGGCAGCCAATCAATGACTCTCATCATTGATGTTTCTATCTCTCTCTCCCTCTCCCTTCCTCTCTCTGAAATCAATGAAGATATATGTTAAAAAATAAAAATAAAATATTATTGAGAACCTCCAAAGAGCTTCTATTTATATGGATTATATCTATTGATATTTATTACTATATTACAAAATACAACTAATTTTTCTTAGTTTATTTTAAAAAATAATAAACTTTTGTATGTTAACACATTTTTGCAAATTTGTTACTTTTATGTCTGGCTTAATAGAAAATAGCTGGATTTTCCTATCTGACTCTTCCTTTAATCTGTTGTGATATATAGTTTTAGTTGAAGTATGTGAAGAAAATTCAGCTTCACCCTCATACATAGTTGGAAATAAGAGGAGTATTTTTAAAAATATATATTTTATTGTTTTCAGAGAGAGGAAGGGAAAGAGAGAGAGAGATAGAAACATCAATGATGAGAGAATCATTGATCACCTGCCTCCTGCACCGCCCCCTGCTGAAGATCGAGCCCACAACCTGGGCATATACCCTGATCAGGAATTGAACCCGGTCTCCTGGATCATAGGTCGATGCTCAATCGCTGAGCCACGCCTACTGGGCTGGGAAGAGTATTTTAATAGCCTTTTCAGATAACTCTGGAGAGTCTTTGATACTGTAGTAGTTTCTTAAAGGTTAGTTGCGATATGGAATTTGAAACCATATCAAGGAACTTTCATCATCTTTTATGTTGTAGTCTGGTTGGTCTGTCTTGCACTTTGAAAGGATCTTTTACCAATGCATGATTTCATAACTTCATGCATTGGTTATATGGAAAATATTGATTCACTGAATTAATACAGGTCTTCCAAACATTGATGCATTTTACTATATAATTTGTTAATAGGACCACCAGACTCTCAGAAAAGCTTTTAAAAGATATTATTAGGAAACTGTCAAGCTTACAGTGGCAAATACAAGTTTTCTATAATTCTAATTTTTGCGTAAAATGTCTAATTTTATAATTGAGGACCAATGCTATCGGTTGTGGTTTTTAAATAACAGCTTTATTGATATGTAATTAACATACCAGACAATTCACTCATTAAAAAAAAAGAAAAAAGAAATAAAACTATGAAATTCAGTTGTTTTTAGTGTATTCAGAGTTGTGCGGCCATTACCACAATTAGTTTTAAAACATTCTATAAATTTTTTTAGAATATTGAGAACATTACCCCAAAACAAAAACTCCATATCTGTTAGCTATTACCCTCCTACTCCTATCCCTTCCTCTCCCCTCTCCTTACTCTGCTCCTAAGCAACTAGTAATCTACTTTCTGTCTTTGGATTTCCCTCTTCTAGACTTGCATGCAACTGGAATCATAGTATGTGGTCTTTTGTGACTGGCTGCTTTCACTTAACAGAATGCTTTCAAGGTTGATCTGTGTTGTAGCAGGAATCAGTACTTCATTTCTTTTGTTGTTTTTTTGTGTTGTAAAATATACATAACAAAGCTTGCTATTTTAACCATTTTTAAGTGTATTATTTAGTGGCATTAAGTATATTTACATTATTGTGCAACCATTACCATTATCCATCTTCAGAACTGTTTGTCATGCCCAGCTGAAACTATGTACCCATTGAACAATTATTTCCCATTACCACCCTCACTCAGACAGCATCGGCAAATTCAGGGGGTTCCCTAAACCACTCTCAGGTTTGATAATTCACTAGAACTCCTCACTAAAAGCTATTATGCTTATAGTTATGGTTCATCACAGGGAATGGAATGGATTAAAGTCAGCTAAAGAAAGATACACATCTGGCAGAGTCATGAGTCCCAAACACAAAGTTTTATACTCCTTTCTCATGATATGAGGACACGTTACCGTCCTGGCATAAATGTGTGACAATATGCATTAAGTATTGCCAACCATTGAAGCTCACCTCAGCTTCAGTGTCCAGAGTTGGCATTGGGGCTTCATTACATAGGTATTATTGATTTGATTGTTTGCCTATGTGATTGAACTCAGTCTCTAGGTTGACTGATGCTGCATTACCCAAAGTCCCTACACTAAATCACATGGTTTGGTTTTACTGGGGTGGCCAGCCCCACCCTAAGATTCGGTAACAAAATAATTCCTATCAGGTACGATAGATTATCTCCTAGAAGCCAAAGGCAAAGAACAGTCTTTTCTTTGGTTAAGGCCAAATTTTTTAGTACACTGGGACAAGTAATCATTTTCAGGGGCAGGATTATGAAGGGAATGGGGTTTTTTTACTGAATATCATCTGACTGCCAGGAATTGTATTCAAATCTTTATGTATGACCATCTCATTAGGTTTTCAAATCAACCCTGAAAAAAATACTACTTTCCTTTTTCACACGAGGAAACATAAACCAAGCAATATCTCTGAATGGTGGAGCTGGGATTCAGCTGAGTTTCTCTATTCCAAAGCCAAGCCCTGCCCTAGCTGGTTTGGCTCAGTAGTTTGAGTGTCAGCCCATGGACTGAAGGGTCCCAGGTTTGATTCCAGTCAAGGGTACGTACCTCAGTTGCAGGCTTGATCCCCGGGCCCCAGTCAGAGTGCATGCAGGGAGGCAACCAATCAATGTGTGTGTCTCACATCAATGTCTCCCCCTTCCCCCCCCCCTTCCACTCTCTGAAAAGCAATGGAAAAAATATCCTCGGGTGAGGATTAAAAAAAAAAGCCAAGCCCTCCATCAAACATCACTAGTCAGGACTGTTCTATTGCACAGCCCTAGGGGCACTGTCTTCTCTGTAGGTGACTCTCCTTAGGCTTGTACTGTGAAGCACCTTATATCCCAGCCACCCTTAGTAACACATGCTATCTGAATAAAAGCAGTGTCTTGCTGCATAAATGGAGCTTCCAGACAAGTTCCTTGTACTCTTCTGGTATGTGTGAATTCTGGAGCCATCACCACATATTACTTCTCACCATAGCAAGTTAAAGGTCCAAGAAGATACACTTCTCAGGTTACCTGTTTTATAACATCAAGCAACAGTTGCCTCATTTCTTCTGAGTTGATTTAGGCATCACTGAAATTCTTTCTACTTTTTTTTCCTTCTCAGGCTGCTGTACAGGACAGATTGAATGAGCAAGAGGGTGTACCAAGTGTTTTCAACCCGCCTCCATCCCGACCCCTGCAGGTTAACACAGCTGACCACAGGATCTACAGCTATGTTGTCTCAAGACCACAACCAAGGGCAAGTTATTTCATAACTGGAATTTCCTTTTATTTTACAAGTCCATTCACTTGGTTATATTGATCTCTGTATGGTAGGAGCAAAAGAAATACTCAGAATGTATAGCTAGAGCTGGCTTCTTGGTACATTTATTGGGTTTATTATTTTTCTTTGATTCTCCTCCCTGCCTCCAGCCCCCATTCCCCTCCCACTTCCTTTTTCTTTTCTTTTTTTAAAAAATATATCTTTATTGATTTCAGAGAGAGGAAGGGAGAGGGAGAGAACATCA